CTCTAAATAAAAGGATGGTTTGACAGAATGCGAGTGCGTTATTACACATTGCTCAGCTGGTGGTCTGAAAGGGATAGAGCGAAAAAGAGGCAGTGTGATCTACATCCCTCTCCCTTTTCAATTAATTTAAAAATGCTTGAAAAATATAGATGATACCTCCCACAGCCTCATGAAGCAATTGAGAGCTGAGGTCCGGTTGCTCCCTGTCTGGTGTGTTTGGGATTACTGGTGGCTGCAGCAGTGTCATTGGCAGGGGTAAGGAAATGCCTCCCCGGACTATAAGTGCTGGAGAAGTGGTCTGGGGCTGACATTATCCCAACCCTCTGGCTGGCTGCCTGTCCTGCTTCGTAAGGATTAAAGAAGGTGTTTGTCTCTGGCTGCTGTAGGCTGTGATGAGTATATGGGTTCCCATCTCCTCTGAGGTCTCTAGATACAAAAATAAATCCAGCGTTACTCTCTGGGTACGTGGAGGGGCCTGGGCAGGTGTATTAAGTACTGAGGTGTGGCTGGCAGTGGAGATCATCTGGGCCTAGATAAATAAGTTCTGCCCATTTAACTTGTACTGTCCCATAAAGCACCTAATGAAGACTGTCATGTGTGCCCAGTGCCACAGTCACTCAGGAAGCACATGATGGTTCACAGGTTATTTCTATACACAGTTATATGATTTGTGCAGTGTAAGAATACACTAACTTTTAACAGGCTCTACAGCTTCTCTGTTTGCTACAGCTTTTCCACCCTCCAACTGTGTGGCAAGTGCAATTTATGGTGTAGAAAGGCATCCAAAAAGAAGCTAAAGCTTCAGAATTCGATCGGTAGGGAGAAGAAAGGATTATTTTTTTTTTTTCCCCTGCTGCTAATTATTAGCTCAATTTCCTCCTCTCTTTAGGATGAGCAATTTTTGCTGAATAATAACCAAAGGCTCAGAGGAGTTCTAGCTTGAGGTAACTGACAGATTTAACTGATAATGGCTACATCAAATAGCTTTATGTTGATTGTGATCAGATAGTTTAATCCCACTTAATTTCTGTGGGAACTGCTCTTCTAAGTGACTTTTGCCAGTTTTGAGAATGGCTTGCTTGCTCTGGACTTGTGAGAGTTTAAGCAGTTACGTGTACTTGAATGTTCAGTTTAAGCTCTGGCCACTCAATTTAGCAGCTACTTGAATTTTCTGACACTTGCTTTGTAGTCTTTACCTCTTTAGGGGTATGGGTTTGGGTGGTTTTTTTGTGGGTGGTTTGTTTCTGGTTGGGTTGTTTTGGGGGGGGGACGGGAGGGAAGGGAAGGACACCTAGCTGTATGGAATGTATTTGTTTATTTCTGTTCAGTTAAATAGTGTTCCTGCAGTGAGGCTTCATACCAAAAGAGCTGTTGTTTGTAAAACTAGATGAAGTATATGAGACCTTTCTTCCCATTAAATATGAATTGAAAAACTCTTGCTGATCCTGCACCAGTGAAAACAGGTTTGAGGTGGTGACAGGCTTGTGTCTAGGAGTAGATCTTAGAGCTGTCTGTGCTTGAAGAGAAGAAAAATGTTGTAAGATGGGGAGAGCAAAGAGAAATAACTGAAAAATAACCTTCTGGTTTTTGAGTATAAATATATGCAGTGGCATGGCAAGCAGCATGTTACTGGGTTGTTAAGAAGCTTTTTTAAAAAATTAGTGGTGTCTTAACAATGATAGAGTACTTAATTACGTATGTTGTTTTTGTCAGCAAACAAATGAAAGAGCTGGAGGAGTCAGGATTCCTGAAAGGAACTTTGAGTGTGGAGCAGCAGTTGGCTCTCATTAGCGTCTCTACAGACCTGAAGGCAGCAGTAGAGGGTGCTACTTTCATTCAGGTAAGCAAAGATTTGACAACTAGCAAACAGTTTACAAAGATGATCAAGAGGTGTGCTCTGGAGTCGATGGGCAACGGAGAGTTCAACATCTTGACCACAGGAGGATGTTTGTGCTTGTTAAATTAAAATTCTTTCTAGCCTGGTATCTTGACATGGGAGATAATGCCTCTTTGCAGGGTTTCAGTACTCAAGAGTCCTTGCAAGTTTCTTTGCATTATGTTGAAGAGGCTGGTGGTTGGCTGAGCCAAGAGACCTCCATGTGTAACAAAGACTGTACCTGTTAGAAAGCCAAATGTGGGGGTATAGGGAGCAGGAGATTCTTAGGAGAGAGATTAATTCTTTGGGAACGCTACATGTTCTAATGCTGGGACTAAAATGTGTTTATTCCTCTTCAGGTACCTCAGGAAGGCAGGGACTATGGCTGTGCCCAGGGGTGACTTCTGTTCTGACTGTGGGGGAGCACTGTAGCCAAAAGCAGCTATCTGACAGAGTGTTAGAGTATTAAAAACAGGGTTGATATACAGGGCTGGAATCTGTGCTGCTAAGTAAAATCGGTATGGGGAACAAGCTGTATTACTGAACCTCATAGTCTATGGTTGCTTAACTGTTAGTGTGCTCACTGGCATGGGCGTAGTTAAGGGAATAGGTGAATCAGGGACCATTTCTGGGATAAAATATCAATAAGATTGCATTGGATTTGGCGTCTTCTATGCTACATGGCCCCCCAGTATTATTCCAGGGTTGTACCATTAACTGTTCCTACATGTATGCGTGCTGCACTCAAGAGTTTACAACTTATACTGTTCCAGGTTATAAATCCCACAATCTGATTAGCTGCAACACATCCCTAACAATAAATGGAATTTAAAGGGGACAGATTTCCAGACCTTTTCTTCCTCCCGAGTTGGTGAGGTGGAAGGGGGGAGAGAATGGGAGGCAGAGCAAAGCCTCACGCAGGAATCAAGATGTAAATGCACTATAGATATTCACAGTGGTATACTATCTTGTATTCGCTTCCCTTTCTCCAGATCATGAAACTATATACTGTTATCCCAGTATCTTGCTCTTTCATCAGTAATGAGCTCAGAGCTTGTCAGTTCATGTTATTGTTTTCACATATGTATTGCTTACCTCTACTGAGTTTAATCTTCAAATTTATTGTCTAGTCACTTCATCCTGTAAAGTCCTTCTGCAAATGTTTGTGGTTGTAATGATGACGACTGACTTAATTTTATGAGCTAACTTTCAGGTCATTTATGAATGGCTATAACAAAGGCCAGAAATACCTGTGAAACAGCACTGGTCAGCATCTTCCACTGAGTAAGAACTGACTGTTCTTCCTACTGTCTGCTTACTATCTCTTTACCTGTTACTGTCCATGAAAGGACCTTTTCTCTCAGATGTGACCAGTTAACTTCCTTGAAAGCTTTTACTATTTTTTGTTGCAAGACTTCTGGCAGTCACACTGACTGCACCAGATACATGGCTCCTGCGCCTGTGCTTGCTCCTTCCTTTAGAGAATTCTAGTAGGTTTGTGAAATAGGACTTCCCTCTGAGAAAGCTGCTTTGATTCTTCCCCATTTATGTAATACTCATTTGGTGCTACCCTTTTCTCTTAACTTGCTTGATAGACACATGCAGCCTCATTGTTGAGGTCTTTTTTGAAGTTCCCTTAAAAGTTGTCATGCTTGCTACTCTTCTGCTCTTTGATACCAAAATAGTGTACATCCAGTTTTGTTTCAAGTGAGCAGTTGTATATCACTGCCACTGTGTTGGGTATTCAAATCCTATCAAAACATGTCCTAGTACCTTGGTTCTGGTTCCCATCTCCTATCATAACTTGAGACAGACCCTGGGTGTCACCAAGACTAAGGCTTCAGTTTTCTGCAAGGATTAGGAGTAACAGAACAATTGCAAAGAAATCGCTGCTCTGTGTATGTCTTCCAGATAATTATCCTTGTGTACTCTGATTGTCCCTTGATCCTATGCATTCTTGTTCTCCATGCATTTTGAAGAAAGAAGGGATTATTATTTTTTTTTAATTATTCCTCTTGTAAATTGTGTGTAGGAGGGTCTGCTTTGTTTTGTCTTATTTTGACAAATTAACAGTCCTACATAGGCAGTACCCAAATGAACATGGCTAAACTTTGTGAAAGCTGCTTTCTTATTTCTAGTGGACTCCTAGTTCTGCCTGTTTTCTTTTGCTCTTTCAAGTGTGTCTGACTACCTGGTATGTCCATATGGTGTCTTTTATTTCTTGGTATGCTACCTGTAAGGATCTGATCCTTCTTACTGCCAACTTTGCATCTCTGTAGTATCCTCACTTTTATTTTAGTATCTTCTTTCAAAGCTAGGTGAAGCTGTGATGGAGGTCTTGTCTCTAGTTGCTCCTACAGAGATGTTGAATCTTAATATGCTATTGTTCCTCTTAGAAAGGGTCTTCAGCAGTAAGATTTTTGAACAAGGTCCTGCATGCTACTTCAGATTAAATCAGGGGCTGCATCATCCATCCATCCCACCATCTGCCCATCTGTAAAATGGGCATCAGGCAAATGTTGCAAAATCAAAGTAATTTTGAGTTGGAAGGGACCTGTGGAAGTCATCTGGTCCAACCTGCTGTGGCACCAACTTACATCAGCTTGCTCAGGATTTGTGCAGTTAAGTTTTGAATGTCTCTAAGGATAAACACTTCTGGTCTCTTTGAGTAACTTGTTACAACATTTGATTACCCTCGTTAAACTTCTTTCCTAATATCTAATTGGAATTTCCCTTATTGCAACTTCAGTCTCTTGCCCCTTGTCCTACCACCATGGACCTCTGAGAAGAATCTGGCTTCTCTGTGTGTTCCCTTCAGGTAGTTGAAGACAGCGGTGGTGTGTTGATGGTCTCCAAATAGCAACAACCTACCTGGGGCAACTCAAGCTTTCTGGTACTATTTTATGTTCCCTTAACCCTTTTGATGTCTTTTAGTATGTAGTCATTAAGCATATCCATAAATAAAAAATATAAATTAACTGCAGTGTGCCTGTGGGTAACAAATTGTATGTGGGTAACATTGTTGGTGGTATTCGTATCAGCTCATCAGTTTCAAACCATAGCATCAAATTCTGGTTTGATACAAAGTGTTAGCAATTACACAACGTAAATGGGCAAATTATTTGAATTAGTCTTTAATTTGCACTTGAAAGGAGAGTGGTGTAGATACAAAAGAATCTTAATTCTAGGCTCACAGCCTTATTCCAGCAATCAACTGACTACTTTCTGGCTGAACTGTTTTAAGCTTCAGAAACATTGCCTAGTGCAGCTTTGAATCTGGAAGGACAAAATAGACTAATTGTAATTTGAGTGCAAGTGTTCTGACTTTTAGTTACTTGAAAAATAAAACATCAGTTGCATTAATTTTGGTTGAATACGGAGGACCCTATTTTCTTCCTTAATGATATAACCTACTGATTAACTTGTTAGAAGACTTCCGTGAGAACTGCATTTCTTTACCCTGGATTTCAGTTGGATAAATCTTAACTTCTACAAAGGTCAAATTCGAAAAGAATAAGTCCACTTCAAGCTTTAAAAAGTTCCTTCATGTTTGCACTCCTTGAATGAATTCTGCAGACAGTTGCCATCTATGCCATTTTCACGGGACATAACTTAAATGGGATGAAACAGTAAAAAGGGGAACTTCTTAAATAACATTAGTGAAGATATAAAAGTGAAAAAGATGCAAGAAATAATTAGGGCTGAGTAATAAGAAAATTCATAACAGTAATGTATGCTTATTATTTTATATATTGCCTCTCCTGAGCGTTTTAATGAAGTAACTTGTCTTGATTGGTGTGCTTTGCACCAGCTTCAGAAAGAAGTCAGTCTTTTTTTTTTTCTCTAAAACTGAGTATTCACACAGTTTCATTTCTCAGAGCTTTTCTATGCTACTTAGAGTAAGTGCATAACCCATAGCATTTAGGTGAATGTGCACTGCAAGCTTCTTGCATCACTAAAAGCTTTAATTCTGAAATAACGTTTCTATTAGCTGAAAATGCTGTGGAGACAAGTTAATGGATACATTTGTGCTATAATGTCCCTGGTGTGGGACTGTCATAGGTGAGGTAAATGTTTCTTAATATTGTACTCTTAACTTTCCTGCATAAATATATGATGTCTTTTGTCTTTATGTGACTATTGGGTACTGAACTTATAAGTACTTCTTTCATTATTAAAAACATACTTGAGTGGATGTGTGTCTAGTTCCTAAATAATATAAGCTGCAATAGAAATCAGTGCAGCATTTACATGATCTCTTACCACAGTGCTAGTAAAAGGAAAAAATATTTTTAAATGCTTTGCTTTGAAATGATTTACTAACAGAGTAATGAAGTTTTACTAGCTCTCAAAGGAGGATAAGATGACAAATCTATTGGTAAGATCTCATTCTTGACAGCTGAGCTGCTGTGTACGCTGGTGGGTTGGGAGGCCTGGCTGGGCTGGTTGAAGCCAAGCATGGAGGGTGCCTGAGGTGATCTCCAAACCCATCGCTTGTGCTGTGGCATGGGACAAAAGACTGGCGAGGGGATGAAATGAAGTTTGTAACTTATACCTTGTGGTCTGAGGTATTTATCATATTCCATATTAAAGGAACTCTGCCTAAAAGCCTTAGAACAGTATCTTTTTTTTCTTTTCTCTCCTCTCTTTTTAAATAGAGGGCGTATTCTGCCTCCCCCCCCGCCATTACACCTGCAAACTCTTTTGAGCTGGTGATAACAACAGTAATAAATCTTCAACCTCATCTCTTTTAGATCTTGCTGGCTCTTTTATCTCTCCCAGTGAGACACATTGAGAAAAACAGTGTTACTAGCTTAAAAATAGCTTTCAAAAAGCCTGGTGGTGCCTCAGAATGGGAAACCAGCATTGACTTGGGAGCCTTGACAGTAGGTCTCTCATGTCTCCTGTCAAAAATTTGTCTTTGGCTGGTACCAGTTTCTACTGCTAGCTTTTGTTTTACTTTC